GGAAAGTTAAACCCTCATGAGATGCAAATTGAAGTTATTATAGCGGTGTAATGCTTTACATACACACGCTGATTTCATCCTAAAAAGATTATTTTCTGGTTTCAGACTGTGTCAACTTTAAGCTAAAAGAACTCCAATCTTTGGAAATAAACATATCCGCTCGGAGAACCATACTGCTGTAATGATAATGGCTCGGCTTCAGCTGCATGCCTGATAAAATCTTCTTATGCAGGCAGATCTGATGTCTGCATGGGCCAGCATGGCAATCAGGGGAGCAAACACAACAGTGTTATTGCTTGAGTTTGCATGCTGTTCCCTGGCCAGGATAAATATGTGATCTATTTTGATAAACAAGCCTGAATGCCTCCTTCCCCGTAATAAAGTAGTTAACGATCATCTTCTCCGAGAATGTCAAATAATGAGGCAGTGGCTTAACAAGGCAGTTCCTCAACCTTGTATAAGCAGAGCCTCGTTTCCTTGAAAGATAAATAAAGCTGTGATGTGCTGTGTGCTGTGCTGCTGTAAGGCTTTTTATTTGTGACTTAAAAAAAAAAAGAAGTAATAATTCAGGGTAAACTTTGTTCAGCTGTTGGATGCCTTTGCTTTCCCCCCCGTTCTGTTTGCTCACTTGGAGCTGTGTTGTGCAATGCTGTGTCCTGTTCTGCAGCTGCTCTATGGATGCCCTGAGCATGGCGGAGGGGAGCAGGCTGGTAAGGCTGCAGCGATCTGCCTGGCCCAGCCCACTGCTGAGGCACCCCAAGGCTGCTGCTCAGTTGGATGAGCGAGCTCAGGCAGATACAGGGGGGTACTTCCCCTGAACGTGCTCTCAGCACCCTCTGTCACAGGTCCTGTCCTGGCTAATGCTGATTTAGGCAGCGCAGCAAGCATCATTTTCTCTGGGGTCCAGTGGTTTCTGAGCTTTCCTTTGCAGGGCTAAAGGCAGTTCTGAGCTCTTCTCTAAGCTTTTGCTGATAGAGAACCCTGAATTAATCTTCAGGCCATTTGGGTATTGGATTACACTCTTCCTCGTTCCTTTCTGTGCCAGCAGTGCTGGAAGTGGCATGGGATGCTAATCCTGCCATACCTATTCACTGTCGCAGAGGAAAATCTATGAAAACAAATTGCTAGTCCAAGCTAAATTTATTCAGTTGGAGTTAATTATAATCTTTATTTAGTCTCAAGTGATGCCTTCTTATCATACACTTATTATAGCTGAGAAAATTAATTTTTATTCTACCATAAAGGTGAATGTAATAATCTGGGTTCAGGGAAGGGATTACTTTAATAAGATTTATAGGCAGCCTTTCAGACAGTGTGGTTTTATTACTATCTGTAGGTGGCCTTGCTGTGTGTGTGTCTTTCAGTCTGGGTGACTGTGCAAAACACACACGAGCTGAAAGTACAGTAAGCACAGCTCAGGAACTTCCCCATGCAACTTCATTTTTTGGCAGCAGAAAGCAGGCACGCTGCTGAACTTGCTGACAAGTGCAGTAATGCAGTTTGTTGGTGAACTTGTGATCTGCTCAGAGGGTTTTATTCATATGCATGGTTTAATTTTTCACTGAAAAATGTGTTTTGGTGGATGGGAGTGTTCAGAGATGGACTTCTGCTGGTGATGACTGTGATGCACAGCTGCAGGGACATCTGGGGAACAACAGTTTGATGAGACATTTAATAAGGGGATAAGCCGACGAGACGCTGTCCCAAGCCTACAGAAGTTAATTAACCTCTCTTCAGCTTTAGATGTTTCGATTAAATAGGATTTTTTATTTTTTTTATTGTATCATTTTTCTTCTCTTCATCTTTCAAAACAACGTGCCCAGCTAGCAAAGTGAACGTCTCCACTAAAGTCTAATCAAGACCAAATTGAAACTGTTTGTGGGTCCAATATCAAGTCCTATCCTCACACCAAACTAGAAAGCAAACAAGAAGCTTAAAGGGATCCTATCATCTTTTTTTACATTACAATTTTTGGTAAGCTCACAGCTTCTGGGCTGACTTTAGAGCTAAAGGAGTGTTGGGTGATCTATACGCAGGGCAGGTTGCGCGCTGAGCTGCTCCTGGCTGGGGTCCTCTCAGCCTGCAGGTCTCAGCCTTTGTGTGCACGAGAGAAAGGAACCTACCAAACTTGTCCAGAGTCAAATATTCTCCTGTAGTTTAGCAGTTCTAGAATAGCTTTCCTTGTGTGGACAGCCCGTTCTGGGGATACAGTGTGTTTTTATTCAAGGATAATGCCTTCCTTTCCCGAGCAAAATAATTATTATGAATAGAGCCATTTTTATAGTGGAATAATGTACATGTGTAGTTTGGTCTTTATGGTCTTTAGTGGGGGCTGGTGGGAAGGGCTGGTGATTTTTCTCCTATACAGACAAGCCATTGATTGCCTCCGTATGAGTCATGGATAACATCATAGTACTTACTGGCACCACATTACTTGAAATTATTCCTCTTACAAAGAGGAGTGTCTGTATGATCTCACGCTACAATTCTGATGATGCTGCAGAAAAGATGAATTTTAACATTTTCGGTCTTTCACAGGTGCGAGATTAGATTTCTTGTTTGTTTTCCACCCCCAAAAAAAGAATATGGGAAGAGTTGCATATTTGAAATGCTTCTTGCTCCTTCAGCTTCTGGAGCTAATGGAAGACTTGACTCCTGTTAATTGAGAGGGCAGATATTTATGTTCCAACGGGACTTATTTTAATATGTCAGATCACATCCAGCTCTATTGCTCCCACGCACCCCTCAGTCCCAAAGTCATCTGAAAAATGGTGCCTGGCCTTTGAGGTGGCTCTGAGCTCTGGAGTTGCCCATTGGCCTCCATTGACATGTTCTAGTCGTGCTCTCCTTTGTTTTGCAATTAGGACTAAACACGTCCTGCCAACTTTTGATCTCACTGGAGAGGTTACTAAAGGAGCAGGTGATTGAATAGCTGCTCTGTTGTCTGTCAGGAGCTGGATGTGTGTTCTGCTGGTGATGGTTACTGTAAGGAGATGGATGTTGTGGGGCTGATGTGCTGAATTAAAAAGGTGGGCTGTTGCCTTGCCATCCTATGAAGTATTTTTTTTTTTTTTTTTTCAGATATTCCTACAGCATCGTAAAATGCTCCTAAATTCAGACATCATATTTTGTTGCAGGCTGGTTCTAGGACAAAGCCCAGCCCTGTCTACTGGTGTTTATGGCTTCCCATATAAGCTTTCAGACAAAATTTGTGTCTCGTTTAGTTTGAGTTACAGCGGGCTGATGGCCTGGCTCTCACACCAGCTCTCAGCAGCAGCACTGAGTGCTGCCACTGTAATGCAGCGAGGAAAAGGAAAAAACACACATTTCAAACTTCCTGTAAATCAGTGCTCGAGAGAGATAAAGTATCTGCGTGGAGGATAAGGAGAGGGGAAAAAGTGCTGTCATATAAACGCAGATGCATTTAAGCCTTGGCTCATCTTTGCTTTCACTGTGTGCTCGGGAGCTGCGTCAGTCTCTGCAATGTGGGGTGTGCTGGGGGGAGCAGATCCTAGCAGTCCTCCCCCAGAAGCAGAAGGTACTCTTGCTTTTGTCTGTCCTCTGCTTGTATATACAGCAGCACAGTTTTTATGATAAATGAGGCTGTTAAAAAGTATTGCTTTCAAATGCAGCCTCGTGGAGCTGGGAGGAATCCCAGCCGTTGAAAGTAAATGAGCAGAATTTCAGCAGAGAACAAGAATGGAGCGAGGTGGGATGGGTGAGGTTTGCCCTAGCAGCTGTCATTGAGGAGTGCAGGCTTTAAAATACACAACCTGAAAAAAAAACAGCTTAAATATTCCAGCTTTTATCTGTGCTAAATTGTGGCTGTACGGACGCCCAGCTGCTAACAGGTGTCCTTGTTCCTGCAGTTGTTGCACTGCGTATCTGCCATCCCCAGCCCTGACAAACAGTGAAATCGCCGCTGAGCTCCAGCGGGAGACAACAAGAGCTCTGACCTTAGGATCTGTCATTGTTGCTTTTGTTATCTCTGCATTATGGAGCCGCTTCATTTCGATTCATTTGCCTCCTGTTTATTTCCTCTGTGGCGCTCCCAGGAGCAAGCTTGCATTCACCAGCGTATGAATTGTTAGTCTGAAAGACCCACCACTTCTTTTTGGTAGAGTCTCACAGCCCAGATTGAATGTATCTCACTATTAATTAGAGATCAGCCCCAACCAAAGGCAGCAGTCTGAACCCCTCCTCCCTCTGGAATCTTTTCTTGCCCAGGAAAAATTGCTCAGTACTGGCTGGAGGATTGACCATTGTGTTGTAGAGAAACTTCTGTGATTTACAAATGCATTTCATTCTCCCCTGGAATTAAACAAACAAACAGAAATCCTTGCAAGCATCTGTGAACCTTCTGTGTGTAAAGGATTTCTCCTTCTCTCAGACTCACCCTAGCCTTTAAATCTGTCCCATTGAGACTCTACCAAACCCTATATTTTCTTGTGTACGAAAACTCCTTTTATTCTTTCTTTTTTTTTTCCCCTTTCCTTTGATTTTCAGGAATACCAGTCTTTTATTGGGTTGCAGCTAACTTTCAAACTACTGACCTAGCAAAAGTGGAGGGGAAGTGATGCTGATTTGCAAACCCCAGCTCAGCCTGCATTGTCTTTAGTTGGAGGGGGGAAAAAAAAAAAGTTTCATTGCCTACTAGAGCCAATCCAGTGGGAGGCTTGAAGTATGAACTTCAAGCCAACAATGGCAGGATATAAAGAAAACATTTATGCTAAGGGTAGTGAGGCACTGGCACAGGGTGCCCAGAGAGGTGGTGGTTGGTGACCTTGGGTGTTTCCAGAGATGGGGCTCTGAGCACCTAATGGATGTGTTCCCATACACTGCAGGGGAGTGGGTACAGGTGGCCATTAAGGGTCCCATCACAGAACTCAGATGGTTCTGTGTTTGTTGCACAGTACCTATAACAGCACTGATCTGCTCTTGTGGGGTGTGCTAAGCAAACATTAGAACTGTCTTTGTTTCCTTTTTCCTTTGGCTTGCAGTGGTGGAGAGCCGAGGAGGGATCATGGACAGCGTACAGAGATTCTCAAACCTGCCAACGTACCTCCCTGCCAGCTATCACATCTGCAACGCTGATGTTTTCTTCTTCCTTAAGGAAACCAACCAGGACATCACGAGGAACTCCAGTTTGCAGTCCAGGGTGGATTCATTCCTTATATACAAATCCAAACTGCCGCCTGTCCTAAATGCCACGTACGGACCCTTTTCTGTGGAGCAGGCTGTTCCTTTAGACCTCATGCTGTCTTCTACATCTTTTGGTTTCACAAATGAATTCACTTTCAATTGGAAATTAAAATCGCACATAATAGACAGCTCGATTTATTCCAACAAACCTAAAATACAAACCTTGTTCTATATTGCGGGGAAAGACTGGGACGACTATGACCCTGAGGAGAGGTTGCCTTGCGTGAAGATGTTTGCTTTCCTGGAATCTAGAGGAGTGGTGGCCAGCTGCAGGTTGACAGGCCAACTGGGATTATGCGTTGCAGAGCTGGAGTTATCTCCCAGCTGGTTCAGCTCCCCTCCACCCCTGGTGTCAGAGGATACAGCTCCCCTGGAAGGGATTACTGTGGAGCTCTTCTATAAGATTGATACAGCAGATGGGGAATGTTCTCCAGAGGATGAAAAGTGGGAGAACAATATTCACGCGGATCAAGATAACGCACGGAAGGCTTTGCCAGCTATGGAGAGGATTGGTAGCATTGTTGTTTACCCAAATCAAGACACATTAAAACAGTCTGCACTGAGGCTAGATGAGAATGTCGTAATCCGCTTGCCACTCAGCCCGGTCAAAGAAGGGGACGTTGTGACCTTCCATGTCTCCCTGGCAGATGACTCTCTGGCAGACCAGTTTGTATTAAGGTAAGAGAATATTTGAAGTGCTGTATGCTAAGCAGTTTACAAATAAGGACAAATTGATCTCAGATGTAATTGCTTTGGTGACGTTCAGTGTTTTCCTTGGAGAACTCAAGTATTAGCTCTCCAACTGGGGAAAACTATAAATACTCTTGAGTTATCTGTGTGGATGACTCTGTTTGGGATGTGGCAATTGATTTTAAAGTACGCGCTAAGAACATATGCATCATCATCTTTTGTTTAATTCTGTTCTCTTCTCCTAATGCTTCTTTCTTTTAAATTACTCCTCTCTAAGTCTGCCAGCATAGTTGCCACAACCCATTTTGCTAAGTGGTTTGCAGGAGTGCTTTCTGTTGCTTTGGTGAAGTAGCCTCAATTTCCCAGATAATCTTTCCAAAGCTCACTGGCTGCATCTTGTACATGTTGTATGCAGCAAGGAACTACTTCACTGCATTGTGGAGGGGAGCTGAGAGAAATCAGATGTGCCTCAACTTGTGTAGGAGGTCTTTGGCAGAGCCAACATTCAAACCCAAGCTTTTCAAGTCCTGCTTTGATTTTGCTGCAAGACAGCCTGTCTGACCTCCTCGAACTCATGACTGCTTGTTGCATGAGCCATTTTTGTTCTAAGTTTAGACGTTTTTTGGTGACCTTTACTCATGAATATGCCTGTAATAGGAGAAATCAGGCATTTCTAACCCCCCTGAGGGTTAGTGCTGCATGTCTGTTATGTCCTTAGCTGTCAGACTCTACGTTCAGAGATGTGTAGAGATTGAATTCAGAGAGAAATGTGAGCCAGACTTGGGGAATAGAGGGGCCAAAAGGTAATTGGAAAGTGTCATCTGCAGTGAGAATGTGAGACACTGGGGAGGAAAGGAGCTGCAGTCCATGCTGGCAACCTCAGACAGATTCGTGCCTTACTTTTAACTTTTTGATCTGAGGAAGATGAGAGCAGAACATGACAGAAGTGCACTTCAGGGACAGATGTTGAGAAAACAGACAGCGAGCTGCATGCAGTGCTTGCACAGCGTTCAACTGTTGTGAAATAGTGCATGCATATCGATGAGATTGCAGCACAAACCAGGACACAGTGTGCAGTCAGTAGGTCGTGGGCCACCTGCACCCAAGCATTTTTCATGCAATCATAGAATATCTTCAGTTGGAAGGGGCCTGTGAGCATTATTGAGTCAAACTCTTAGGTTTCATTGGGGTAGGGTGAAATACATGAGAAGGGATATCACAGCATAGGGTTTAAGCAGAGTTTAAATGGTTTGGGTGAGGAAGACTCTTCCTGTTAAACCAAGTTATTCTGTTATTGCTTCTGTCTGTGTTTGCTGGTTTTCCTTTGCTAAATGTGGTTTTGGTCAGCAGCTGCTGTTGAGCAGGGCAGTAGATGGACCTCATGGACTGGTTGGACTTGAACAGTTGCCTGTTGATCCTCAGCTCTAGAACAGAGAGGTGATGAGATTTGCTCAAGGTTTTGCATCAGCTCTTGTCAGGTTTTTGTCCTTTGCCACACTATGGATGGAATTCCTGAGGTGTTAGAGAACCTTGTAACAAACGGCAGTGAAGATGGTTGTTTTGAAGTTTCCACTGGTCAGGAAAGCACCAAAATGCTCCTTTAGGGATAGTTTTGCAATGCTGTCCTCAAAAGCATAAAACCAAAATAGTGTCTGGAACTCCTGAGCACAGTCACAGGGTGAGGTTTTGAGGAAGCAGAAGTAGAGGGATCCTCCAAGCCAGGAGCCCCAGGATGAGCCCCAGGAGCACAGGCATTGCTGTGACCTCAGCTTCCCAGAGCCAATGGAGCTCCTGAGCTGCTGGGAAGGGGAAAGCAGTCAGTTTCCATGGGGATTTCCTTGGAGAAGTGTGCAGAATCAGTGTGTCTCCAGGAGATGTTTCTGTTAGAATAAATAGGTGCGTTGTATGCACCCAGAAACACTGCTTTGGAAAAGCCACAGTCAGCTCTTGGTAGCCTGGCCTGTCCTGTCTGTTCCTTGGCTTTGTCTGTGTTGTGATTTTCATCACAGAAACTGCAATTATTTCTACTTAACCTTGGGTTGGAAGCTGTAAGTAAGAAGCAAACTGCAGCTCTGGTGGCTCACCCATCCTGCAGGATGGAGTTCAATGTTAATGTAAAAACCCAGAAGGTTTTTATATACATTGAATTTCTGTGTGTTACAGAGGAAAAAATACACTGAAGTAAATGTTTGCCTTGGGAAAAGTATTTTTTGCCTGATATAACTGATTGTTTTTAATCATATCTGTTATAAGTGGAGTGGAGGAAATTGCAGCCTGGCTTGTAGGAGATGATGGATCAAAATTACGTCATCCTCTGCACGGCTCTGGCACTCTGCAAAAGAACGGATCTGCTCAATTTTATGCATCTCCTCGCAGTTTCATGCTGCGTTGTGCAGTATTGAATTTGGTGTTGCATTTTGCTCTAGCAAAACTGTTCTCTTAAAAGAGCCAATTCTTCCTCGTTTCAGAGGAAAATTGCAGGCTCTCCATTAAAGTGGGAAACTAGAGAGCAAGTGGGAGCACTTTCCTGGTCCAGCACTCTGCTCAGTTGTTAACCCCCATCCTTCTGTTGGTGTTGCTGGACAGGGGATGGGTGCTGCAGGGTGTGCATGAAGCTCCCTTCCTCACCCCTCACTGGTTTTGTTCAACTTAAGCTAAGTTTTTTCATTTGTTTTCATTCAATAACTGGAATTTAAGATAAAGTTAGAGCTGTGGGTTGTGCCCCAGGGAATTTCTTTTTATTCTGCAATCTAGACAGTGTTGCTGGGTGTAATTGAAGGGCTGAAATATGTCAAGGGGCAGAATTTGGAGGCTAAGTATGGATGTCATGCTTTTGCTATGTCTGACAGTCATATTGCTCCCCTTGTTGACAGATGATCTGTATGTGTGTACACTGAAATTCTTGTGACACTGGAGATTAATTTGTGGCCTTGCTCTGGTCTGTACTGTAAAATTTGCCATCTGTGAGCATAAATTGTGGCCATTATGTGAGGCGGGCTGCTACTGAGCGTGGTATGACAGTAAAGATAGGCAAAATGCACTAAGTTACTGTGAGTAAACTTTTTAATGAGATGACTTGTTTGAAAAAAGCAAAGATGAAGCATAGCTTTAAGAATCCTGCCGGACTGGACACACATTCGTCACCAATTTGTGGGCACTTTCTGTCTTTCCATGCACAGGAATATCTCATTTACTGATGAACGTGGCTGTCACATAGTGAACAGGGGAAGCTGGAAATGGCCATGAAAGAAGGGTCGACAGCAGCTAATTGCTAAGCTAAAGAAGTCCCATGAAACACATGAGAGAATGGTAAAAAGGAGAGATGTGGCATTATTTAACTCCAACTTGAGACTCGAAAGTACATTTAGAGGAAAAGATGAGAGTCGTTTCTAAAGGAAAAAATGGACAATTGCAGCACAGCTGTAGGAAAGAAACCAGGGCACTCTTTGTAAATGAATGGCGGAGTTTTGTCCTGTTTCCCAAGTCTCCCTTCTTAAACCGTCCGCAAGGATGTTCCAGTAATGAGGGCTGAGCACTCGCAGCAATTTGTCGGGTTGCAGACAAAAAAGTGGGTTTGTTGGCATTCGTTACACGTCCCCAACACGAACGGCCCATCCTTCTTTCATCCCCGGTCAGAATAGACACGGAGACTGGAGATATTCCAGGAATAATAGGAAGGGACTGAAACCAGGTAATGAATCCCACGGCAGAGAAATGAAAGCGGCTGTGGCCCTCCGTCTGGAGGGGATCGGGGCTGCAGAGAGAGCTGGCTGTCGTCGGTGCCTTGGCAACCCGAGGGAGAAGGATTATCCTCTCTGCTGTGCTCCACGTCTTGCAGGGCTAAGATGACTTTTTGATTTTGGGGTGAACTGCTACAAGGTGTAATACACGCCGGTTGGCTTTCGCTGATTATTCTCCCTAGGAAAGATGATATGAAGGATTTATATTAATAAACATATATCCATATGGAGGAGGTTATGTCTCCTGCTAAGGGATAAAAATTGCACAGGCCATTAAAACTGACTTACAAGGCTTCCGCGTTAATAATGAAAGATCCATAGAAGTCTGAACAGTCGTCTAGAAGGCCAGAAAAAGATCATTAAGAGGATGTCTCCTGCCAATAGCTGCCGAGAGCAAACAAGGGAAAGAAAACAAAAGGTTTCAGATCTGGGGATGCACAGAAAAATGAGAGTGCAGACTGTGGGGAGTGCAGTGAGAGGAGTGGGCTCTGCACGGCTCTTGCTGCCCTGAGCAAGCTGTTCTGGAATGGGGGGGGGGGTTATTGCTGGCGAGAGGAATAAATGATTAACTGAAGCATCTCTTCAGGACAAAAATTCAGCAGAAGCAAAAGTGGTGAGAAGGAGAAAAACATACTCCAGGAACTAATCAGAAATGCTAATTCAGACTTAGAAATAATTACGGAATTAAGGCATTACCGGCGACTTGGGAATATTTGTTTTTTACTTAAAGGTGTTAATAAACCCAGAATGAATGTTGGAAGTGATTATTTCTGTCTTCTGTCTACATGCATGCTGTACTAAATGTAAAATATGAAACACCAGTGCTCGATATTAATTAAAAAGACTGAGCACTGCAAGTCTGGAAGTGCTAGAAGTATCCGTGCAGTCTTAACTCAGCCCCTTAACTCCTCAAAGCTGAATTCACACTACCTTTTCCCAGATAGCTTGCCTCATTAGATATAGAGACTGTCTTGCTCCCACTGTTTTGTTTTGTTTTCTTTTCATCCCCAGATAGAAAATGGAATGACGTCCTTTCAGGGCCCTCCTGTGAAGCCTGGGACCTGTCACTGGGATTTTTTAGCTCGGATAAACCATTTCTATAAATGTGAGAGGGTTGAACCATTCTTTTGCTTTTCTGATTTCTGAGACAGGCGTTTGTTTCAGGAGAAGAAACTTCAGCTGATGAAAGCCTGGCAGTGCTCTAAGCATCTTAATCGATGGTGTTTGTGATGGGATGGGATGGAGTTG